AAAACACCGTTTTCAATGTATTTCTTATGGAAAACATGTTTTTTGAAATATTTCACCATAAATCATAACAAAAGCAAACTTTCATAATTATTTGCAAATCTACACGAATTGAGCTTTCCAACGACCCATTAATTAATAAAATCGGTCCAGTAGAACTCTAGATTTAGTTGTACAAAGATTTTTAAAACTGAATTATATATAGAATAGATGACTACATCGTGATGATATCACAAATTTCAGTCGTAATACTCATTTTAGTTCTAAAATACCAGTAAACCTTTAAATTTCAACAATAGTTTGCCTGTCGAATGTCTCCCGAGATTGTTTATTCTCATAGCTCAGCTGCATTTGACCTGTGACCCCTTGACCCAGGTTGTCCTAGATGACCTTCGGCCGCTCCCATGGTCCGAGGTCGCGGAATGTCGGAGTGTGGTGACATTGATTTGTACCGCTCCAGCGTGCAATTGCAATAAGTAGCGCCTTCGGTTAGACGATGCAATCACCGCACCACGTTGCTGTGTTGCAGTTAATGCGATGTAGAAAGTGAAGGCGTTTCGTGATTTTTGTAAGACGTTACGCTTAAAGCTATAATTTTCTAAAATAAAAGGTTTTTTTAGGACAGTATGGTAATTTTTTTGAAGATTGAGGCTTCTCTTTCCTGGGTGTGATAGTAGGATAAGACGGATAAGTAGTTATCTTCTTGGAATTCTGTGAAAATTAGAAGCATTTTGTCTCCGGTATATCATACACAACAATTTACGGCTTTTGACCGACTTCAAGCGTGTGTGATACCTTTATTAAACATTCCACTGCGGATAGAAACCTAGCAATAAAAAAAGAAACAGCAGAGTTTTTCAATGTTCAGGCTAAAGTTAAAAGTTAAAAGTGTATGGAAAACAAGTTGTGAAACATTTTTATTATTTTTACTGAAACGACGCAAATAATTGGTTGAATCGTATAGGCCTATAAATCTTTGTATTGTGGGTAAAATAAAACGCAAGATGTGTCTCATTTAAACAGGTTAATTATATTTTGGTATTGTGTTAACTGATGTTGATATATGAGTATCTGTAGTAACCCGTTTTGAATTACCACGCAAATGAACTGATGAATGAAGTTACTAAACGATGGTTTGTTAGTTATAAAAGTCCACTTACATGAGAAAATGATTGTGCGAATGCATGATTACCACATTACTGAAATCCCGATCGTTTGCTGGCAGATTCTTGAATTACTTCTTCTAATGGATCAAATCAATTTTACTATTATTTACTATAGGCCCTAACCTCAGAGTAACAAAACAAAATTTTGTTTTGTTACTCTGAGCTCTGAGCTATAACTTACTGTATTTAACTCCGAACTCCGTTGTGTTTATTAAGTTGAATTGTTTGTGCTGAATTACTATTCTCGCCAGTCTATTGTCAAAGTGTATTGTCAAGCCAGTTCGCTTGTGATAGTTGATATTTTATCAGGTTCTCACATGAGATGGCGGCTCCATACACTGAGCGAAAGTTGTGAGAATGAGGCTGACTGTCTCACGAGTCTCATTCAGTCCCTACACTACCAACTACAGAGTAATAGTAACGTATACATTCTAAATTGATTGGTACTTAACAACAGGTTTCCTAACGATAGAAATTATATAGTTTCAATCAGAACATTTTCCGTGCTTTGCGAAATGGCGAGGGCGTAGAAGAGAATAATGAAGTTAGTATGGTCGATGGTATCCCACCAGCGATCGCAAAAAAAACCAAATATGTGATCGATGTATTCTACCTCATAGCTGCCACCTTCAGAAGAAGTCCCCTGATAAAGACACTAGCAGCTGACGTTTCGTAAGCGGACCTGAAGCAGCAGAACAATTGTCTGGCAATTAGCAACATTCCACAATGGCGCTGCTCTGTGATTGTCATGCTAAACTGTGAATTGTGAACAACACGGCAGTCGTCAGTGAGGTGTTAAAGTGACAACAACAATACAACAGCAACGACACACTGACAGGCAGTCGAGATAGTGACTACGGTATGAATGGGAGTTTTGAAATGAGAAGTACGAGTAAGAACGGCTACGTTTAGAGGTTTCATTAATATTGTGTAGACTGGATAGATAAAAACAAAACACACTCCCGACTGTAGACTGTGGATTATCTCATTATAATGGGGAAAATACGATAGGCCTGGTCCTCCCTTTAATGTATTAATTTATTTTCCTGTGACAAGTCAAACATCCTAATCCTTTAATTAGTTGTTGACCCTCAATCGACACGATTTTTCAATTGGAAAAAACTATAGCACTCATCCTTTTTTTAAATTTATGCAACACAATTCAGGTTGTTTTTTAGGGATAATTTTGGAAATTTTTCATCACGATTATTAAAAACTCTTATAGATTATGTAGCCAATTTTCTAAATTTAGGAATTAACTAGTTAGGTAAGAATATATACCAGTTATACTACGCAACTCTGCATCTTTTATAGTGTTTCGATTCGATTAATTATTTGTCGGCGCGCCGTTGGCAGCTCTGTAACCAATCAGCTGTCGCGGACAACAATGCTGGTCAGCTGACCTTGACTGTTGTGTTTTGTCTGTTGAGTAACCGCATTCTCTCACACCGAAACATTCGACCTCAGCGTGAGACTTTTTTACAAGAAGTATAACACAAATAAACACTCCCAGTCCCAGTGCATAATATAAAGATGTATCACTTTTATAGTCGATTCTGTAATCAAAAGTCTCAAACTATATCACTTGGCAATCCACTTTAGCTATTATTAATAGTGGACAGTTCATTCTTATGTTATAAAGCTGTAGAAATGTTCGAGATTAAAATTATCATTGTTGAGTTTAGTCAACGACAGTGTACGCTGATTTAAATTACCGATTTATGTCAATTAACCAAGTTTAACCAAGCCAAGCAGAATATTCAAACTAACAACCTCTTTTGAAGTGGCATGAACAATCACAGTACAGCCGAACCTCTATAAGACGTATTTCAAGGTGTAGGGAAAAATTCTTATTATCGAGGTATTCTTAACAAAGAGGTCCGTTTTGTCGAGGTTTAAAACTGCCGTTTTTTAGAGGTTTCTCCTCGCTCTGAGGCAACTGTTATAAATGAAAAGGGATGGGTGGGGGTTTCATGTTGAGAAAAGCTGATGTTTGTTTTGAACACTACGTACTATGGAGGTTAAGAAGATCATGAAAAACTTGTCTTATATAGGTTGCATTCGTCTTGTAGAGGAGTTGTGCTAAGAATATTCGTCTTGTAGAGGTTATTCAGTCCTAGCCCATGTAACAAACAAATTCGTCTTATTGAGGTTTTTAACCTAATTACTACGTTGTATAGAGATGCTTTTAGCATTGACCTTTATGAAAGTTTCAAGGGGATTTTCAAATTATCGAGGAATCCATACTAACGAGGTTCGACTAAAATAGTCTTGCTATTAACGCCGATTGTATCGAAATATTATTGCATTGGCCATTCAAGGCCTGACTAAGAGTTTTTTTTAACAAATACACAATGGAACTAACAATTTGAATCAATTGTTGAGGATGCACTTCCGTGACATAACACGTGACATTTCGTGATTGCAATATGTGGTCTCTGGTCTATCACACGCGATAGGCCATGTTATACTATGAAGTTGTTACAGCTCTGTACAGTATTTCACATGCATCCACCACGCAATCTAAAATGACGAAAAGACAGGTGCAATTACAACAAGTGTTAGAATAATTGTAAGAAAATAATTAACCGTTTTCTCACTCGATATTAATGTACCGTACTTTACAGGCAATCAACACATTGCATTTGAACTCATGTTCCTGTATATGACGTCAGCCGCACACCCTATACTGTATATTTTAATAATAAATTATTGGCCTTCATAGACACAGAAAAGAGGTTCAAACAATACAACAAAACGCCCTCTGCAGAAAAAACTGACAGAAATATATTTTAATCTTGTCTTTGCCTGTTCTATAAGGGTGATAAATCTTTAAGAAAATATGGACATGCTCTATTTATACTAACTGAATGTGATATTCTATAATAAACTAAATTGATGGTAAACACAGTGTACGACGAGTGATAAATATAATTTTTTGATAGTCGAGCAAGGCGTTTGTATGTTTTTAATATTTATTACTAAGATGTTTTTAAACCTAAAACCCTTTACACGAAACTCATTTCAGATTAGCTGGTATGAATTGCATGTCGCTTATCAATATGAAAAGCCCAGCAGGAACCAAGGGGCTAATTATTCTGGTACAAAAGACTAGGAGGGCTTCGTAGAGGGGAGCGGTCACGTGGTTTAGGTGTAAAACAAGTTTCTCAGCGTCCTTATCGAATTGTAATACTGTATTACCTTCGATATTACGATTTAGAATAATGACATACATGTGATGAATATGAATTTATATGACAATTTAGTGACATAGTGATATATTTGAGCGAAAATCTCTTCAGGCAACTAGGCAAGAGGCAAATGTAAATTTGCTTAGTCTACAGGAGTGTTGCGGTGAGATATTTTACAATTATCGGCAAAGATATACTTTACACGTTTCCATTAAAAATATCAAAAATCTTTATGGATACCAGATACTAGTGGTCCTGATTACGACCAGTTTGAACCGGTAGAAAATTATTTCCATTGTGGCGTTTTACATCAACATTTAAACATTTATAGTAAAAGTAGAAACACATCGTGTGGCGGGTGTATATTTTATTGTATCAGTACAATTCGGTAAAATTGTGTTAATTGTTTTTCTTTCACCTGATCGCACTCACTATGCAATATACAACTAATTTATCAGTTAAACAAGGTTATAACAAAAATAAGAGTACTTCAAACCAATTAAAGGTCAATATAGATTTTTTAAATGAATCCCTACACAATCGGTTATCTAAGTACTCTAGTCGTATTGCGCCGGTAGATAACGCTGCGGCTGCGCCATTGTTGTGTTAGTTCATGTATCGATCGACAGAGTCGCCAGTCGCGTCAAGCTCAGTTTTGTGCCAAGTTTTCGCGTACAATTACAAAACGCCGAAACGTCTGTTGTGCTTCCTTGTTTTGTAATTTTCTAAACAACTGTGCTCACAGTCATCGACGATGCAATTGTGAATATACACCTGTGGTTCAACAAGAGGATATAAGTGCTGTTTGAAGTGTGTTGTTGTGATGTGATAAGGTTAGGTTGTTGTTTACTAGCCCGGCGACCTAGATTATTAAATAGCTCGATACGGGTTTTAGCTTTTGGTGTCACGTAAGGTTAAAAATAAGAAAAGTAAAAGTGAAAATTTTTCTGATAAAAATATTCTGTAGTTTAATCAGGAAAATCGTACTCTTCTGTTATCTCTGACCAACTAACTTAATTCACGGGTTATTTTTCAACGATTTCGAGTCGTATATTTTAAGTTATATAATAAAAGGAGTAAATTCATAAAAAATAATAAAACCAACTATTTTAATAGGCTAGTTAAACATGTTTAATGTTTATATTGCTATTTAACTTTCTTATCAAATACCAATGATTAGGCCTATTATATTTTAGTATATGATAATATTTCAACCACAAATCATAAAATAAACCATAATCATAAAATCATTGTGATTACACTTCAAGAATATTTCTTGGCAGGCTAAACTACGTCTATATCAATACCGGTAACTAGTGGTGGGAATCACCGAATGAAAATAACCGAATCAATCGGTTATTGATGCTGAATAGACTAATTCGGTTATTTTATCCTGGTTCGGTTAAATTAGTCTTCCCGAGCGATTCGGTGATTTAGTTACTTAGTTGATTTAGTTTGTCACATCATCAGGAAACTAAAATTTATTCGGAGATTCGTTCGACTAAAAATCACCGATTGACGCTAAAAGACTAAATGCCATTCAGTTTCCCATAAGATAAAAATTAGTTGTGTTTTGTGACAGTGAATAATGACTAAAATTGATTCGGTGATTCATTCAACTAAAAATAACCGATTGACGCAAAAAATAACTGATTGATTATTCGGTCATGGAAACCATTCGGTTATCCCATCACTACCGGTAACTGTCAATTTCAATTTCAAAATAAAATAGGTTTAGGTAAATGGTTCATTTTTAGCCTAACTAATTAATATGCAGTACTCCAATTGACTACGTTTCTAGTAGAAAAACAAGTTTTTAAGTAGAGTCAATAATTTGAAAAACGTGAAATCTAAATGCTTAATACCGTTACTTGGGAAAATAGGATTGTTTTTACCAGCAGTGGTGTTGTGATGGCGAAGCACTCACATAAATTTTCAATGTCCGGGCTGTCTGTCGGGGGTAGTTTGTTGTAGAGGGTGGGGGGTGTGTATGGAAAACATCCCGCTTTATTGCTGTGCAGTTACGTGCAATTGCTAAAGTTGCAGGCCTAACATTAATTTTTAAAAATTTCTGGGTTTTCCCAGCTTGTATTGGTCCCAGCTTGGGTTCTTTAAAATGTTTCGCACAAAATAATTTATTCCATAGTACATTTTAAATTTACATAGGCATAATTAATATGATACTTTAGGTCGTAATACGATTAAAATGATAAAAAATGTTTCCTACATACAGGCTTAGCTAATTATAATTTAAAGGGCCGAAAACTAACTTCCTTTAGTAAAATGGATTTCAATTATTGTGATAAGATAGGGGTTAAACAAAATCATAAAACGTTTCATAATTATTTTTAAATTATTTTACTGTACAGTATGCTTAGAGTATAGCACACGGTTGCATGGTAAATATTTACAGTATGTCACTATCTATTTCTGGTTTGTTGCTTTCCAAATTGATTATCTTTTTAAGAGTTTTTGAACGAGGGAGATTCAATTATCAATTATCAATTATCAATCATTAAGATGGGGACGCCACTTAGGTGCGTATTTTAACCCAAATATGAATGAAGGATGAGTGTAGAATGGTGTGAGATGATCTGTGTAGCTTTGTTAACAAATAGTCTCCAATTTACAAGAGACTCGAATATACTACTTGAGTCTAAGTTCATAACAGTTCACCACCAAATGAAATCAAAAGTTATAAGTGGTCAATTTGTAAATTACGACAGTTAAACAATTGTAGAAACGAATGTAGGCCTAACCTAAACAATTGTAGAAACGAATGTAGGCCTAACCTGAAACGCTGAAGCAAAAAGTTTAGTGAGCCGAAAAATCCAATTTAGCAACTAAAGAATTCCTTGACTGTGAACATCTGATTAAAATTGTGTTTGTTCAGCTGTTTAGCGCGTTGACAACCGTGCATTAAACGATCAGTTGATGTTTATTTAAATCGTATTTTACGTCAACGCATTGTTTCCGGACGATGCATTAACAGTGCCAATAAACTTGTGTAAACGTTTCTAATACAGTGTTCTTTTTTTATAAACCTTCTAAACAATATAAGTTAGTTGTCTAGTATTTAATTTACAAACTAATTTCTCAAAACACTAAAACTTCTTCTGCTGGAGCAATAAATTAATAATAACTCTTGATTTGGTTATAGGACTAGATTGTAAATGAAAATAGCTTACAATCACAACTTGACAGTCACTTACAAGTGCCTTCTAAATGTAACAAACAATTGACTCTTTTTACCGTTACATCACTCTATATTGAAATGGCTCGTTTAAGTAGGCGGTGCTATGTGATAAGGAAGTGACATGGTGTTATCAGTGTGACCTTGACATGCGGTCGTTATCATGGAATCTCCAGGGGATACAATCAGCGGCGTTATCAATGCTTGGAGTAAGTATGAGTTTACTACTGCTTAGATTACTTACTTGGAAACTGACTTACTTTACATACCGTACGGTTTACATTTGGGATTTCATGATTACTTCGTAAAAATATTGTTTTATCTTCTATTTATACAACATTTTATACACGTCAGAATTCATTAAATCAACATTTACATCCTATTTCCTCCAGTAGGCCTATATAATAAAACAAACTAATCTACATTTTGTATTGTTCAGTTGACACCTGAAGTGAGGTAATTCTAATCACTCTCTCACTACTTTACTTGCTCCATATGACACCTGAACAAAATAAAATAACCAGGAAATTGAGTCAAGTAATAAAATGAGTTGATAAATAAGCTGTTTAGCAAAAGAACCTATAAGTTAGTGAGATAAATGACACCTATTACTGTAGACTTAGCAACCAGTTTTTTTTCCTTTTTTAAGGCTGTTATTCCCTTGCAAAGCACGGTACAGCTTGTTGTTTATTGCTGACTATAAGCAAATTAGTTTCACTTGCATCACGTGTGGTCAGCTCGTTGGTCACGTGTCCACGTGCTATACATCACGTCTGTGACGCGACGTCGATATCAAACATTCATCTGATCAATATCGCCTCACCGTCAGACGTCAGTGCGTCTGCAGTCTGACATGCTGTGTTTCATAGTACAGTACCTACTATAAAAACAATAGTAGCGTTTCACATAACTTTGTATAATAGAGTAGACAAACTGACTCTGGGGAAATCAAAACTAAAAATCTATGTGGTCCCGGGTCTAGGTCTTACCTTTAGACCTACGGCAATAGCTTACTTAGATTACGGTAAAACTATTGACTTGCTGAAAATTATTCGTTTAATCCTTCGGTAAAATCTGTTCGAAGTTTTGTTTAAATACGTTGAGGTATATTTCCCTGTTGGAAAATTTACTAAAAGTACAGAATGAAGAGGACTCTCTTTCTCCTACGGTATACTCTTTATTTTGTGTTCAAAGTAATGTGAAAAATTAGAACCTTGTTGTAAAAGATGTTTTGAATTTTAAACAAGCTGTTCTTACGGCTATGTAGTTTACGTCCATGTACTCTATTAATAAGTTGTTCCCTAGTCAGCTTTAGCAACTTACTGCAGCCGATGCCATTTATGACAACGTATGTTTGTTAAAAATAATCAGTTTACCAAAGTGTAACAGCCTGTAGGAACTATGGTAGGAACACAGCAACACAGCCTACTACTTATTTTTATACACATTAAATAGAATTTTTGTAATTTTAGAAAACTTTTTTATTGGTTCAATTGATAAATCATTGACCAATTATTATTGTTAGACCTACTTAGTTTCAAATCTACTCAGTGTCAGTGCAGTATCGCCGTATCAGTATCTTATAGCACTGTAGGTGTTGGGAGACAGCCAAATGTGAGCCAACTCACTCCCAGGCATATTATTTTAAGACGACAAACCCACTTTGCGGATTAGCCTAATTACATACTAAACAGAGTTTAGCAAAAGTATCATACAGATAAGTGGGTCAAGTTGTCTCTTTGGACTTATTTAATTAGACAATTAACTAGTTGTGCTCTTAATTGAGACTCATAAATTTCAAACTTTGAAACTAGAAAAATAAAATTGTTCTAGTATGTATGACCTTGCTATAAACCCATTGATTTATTTCTGAAATAATAAAATGTTTATTAAGGGACATTAATTAAGGAATGTCTTTTGGGACGCGGCTAGGCTAGAGGTTTTAGTGCAGGACGTTGACATGGAAACTCAGGTCCAATTCCGACCAATCACCAATGATTATAAGTCATGCCACTAATTAATATACCGCATAAGTAGTGGAGAACTACCGGTTTTACCTCACTTTAGGCGTTTTTTCCCATAAGAATAACATGGGGATCATTTTTTGGCCACCAAATCTAAAATCCTGATCTTTGCCTATACAGTATATCCTTATATAATTGTCAAACCTTATTTTTTACTTATTCTGTATATATATATTCAGTATTAAGCTAAAAAAAGCTAATTATTTCATATATTGACCCATACATGTGTATATGTATAGTAGTGTAAAAACGCTATTCACTGGAGCAGGATGCGGTGCAACCCTCAATTGTACCATAGCACCCCATCATGTGTACAGTTTATTGTGTATCTGTTTTGGTTTAAATATATATATTTCTATGTAATAACACTATTCAATGAACCAGGAGCACGTGCACCCCTCCAACTGTCCCATAGTATAGTAGTGTAAAACGCTATTCACTGGAGCAGGATCAGGTGCAACCCCCAATTGTACCATAGCACCCCATCATGTGTACACGATATTTTACTCGATTGTTTTGGTTTTAATATATATTTGATGGAGCAGGAGCAACACCGTGTTGAATTTCAATAATCAGGTTGTTGCTGCCGTTTTATTTGAGGCGTGGGGGTTTTTGGGCTAACTCCCCCCCCTCCCCTTTCCAGTTGATATATTATATTTCTATTTCAAAATCATGTATGTGCGGACTTGGCTCATGGCGTGGGTGTGCTCCCTTGGACATCCTTAGTGGAAATCCATGAATTCTGGCTACTTGGGAACCCAAGCCATTTGACATACAATAAATCACCCTTCCTCCTAATTACCTTTTCTACTAAATACATGTCTTTATATTTGGTCTTTAACAACTCCTCTGTATAGAATCCTCCTCTGATTATATTACCATTTTCATCTTTCAAGATATAAGTCACAGGCTTTGTATTCTTAACTTCTACTATTGTAAATAGTTCCCCTGTCCAATTTGGGGTATATCCTTTACTAAACACATGTTTATATTTGGAAATTCTCACGCTATCACCTACCTTATATATTGGCTTTTTAACTTGCATTACTTTAGAAGTCAATCTCTCATGCACATATTTACTGTTCTTAATATTCACTTGGTTAGGTTTCATTCCTATAGATCTATGCACTTTATTATTATATTTTCGAATTAACTTTGGAAGTAAATCCAACCATTTATAACTCCCCTGAGCACTAAATTCCCTATATAACCAATTCTTTAAAGTTCTCTGAAACCTCTCCACAATTGCAGCCTTAGTTGTAGAAAAAGTGTGATAGTGATTAATATTTAATTTTTTCATTAGTTTGCTAAAATATTGATTAAAAAATTCTTTTCCATTGTCGGATTGAATGTTTTTAACCCCCTTTGGTAGAATGGTTTTAATGGCTTCTGTAACCACTAACCCTGTCTTATTCTTTAGTGGAGCAGCATAAGCTTTTTTAGAAAATGTATCTATTAAAGTTAAAATATATTTATTGCCAGAATTCTATCTAGCATAGTTTTGCATATCAATTAAATCTATTTGTATGGTTTCGTTTATACCCAATACTTTAAAAGACCTTCTAATGAAATTCTTTCTTGCAGGCTTATGAAGTTCGTATGCAATTTCATTCATTTTTTATAACATCATCCTTTCCTGTAACTCTAAATACATCACCATTAGCCCCAATCAATAGATTATCTTCCATTCTTTTAAATACATAGTTTTCTGGTATATATGGTCTATTATCTATATACTTAAATCCACTCAAAGATGTGGGGTCAGCAACTAATAAATCAGGATTATATTCCATCAAATTAAAATTTTTTTCTCCATATACAAATTTTGATCCATCGTAATGCATAGATTGTGACATTAGACAAATATCATCCGAATGTTCCCCCTCTGGTAGATTCCTTATAAATATTTTTTTGGCATCCCAACATTTTTCTTTTTTATCAAAAGTTATAGTCTGTTCTTTATAACACAGTCAGTTTCATCAATGGCAGGTTTAACACGTACTAACCTTTTATTATAAAAACTCCAATAGCCTGCTTCCATTTTTGGAACTTGTGAAACATTCACAGCATCTTTACTATCTGTACCTTCCATCAAATTGCTAAGTTTCTGTTTCTTAGCATTCCAAACACCATTCTCTGATTCTAAAAATTCATAATTATTATCATCTTGTATAAATTTACCATCTTCTGTTCGTATTAAAGTCTGTTGTAAAGTGGGCACATCATCTAAACTTTCACCCTTTTCTACATTAGTAATTTTCCGTTTCTTAGCATTCCAAACACCATTCTCTGATTCTAAAAATTCATAATTATTATTGTCTTGTACAAATGTACCACCATCTGTTCGTATTAAAGTCTGTTGTAAAGTGGGCACATCATCTAAACTTTCACCCTTTTTCACATTAGTAATTTTCTGTTTTTTAGCATTCCAATTTTTATTCTTAGATTCTAAAAACTCATATTTAGTTTTACCTTGTAAAAAGACATCACCTTTTCTAGTTAATGTCTGTCCCAAAGTTGATACATCATCTACAAACTCCCCATCTTTAACATTACCAATTTTACGGTTTAAACAATTCCAACTATCGTCTTGTAAATTTAAAGTAGGTTCACTACTAGCCCTGGGTTCTGCAGGCTTATTATATGGATTATATAAACGATAAAATTTATCTATAAACATATTTTTATTTAATAAATAATTCCACTTTCTCTCAATTCCTCAATAATGGAATCTATTTCATTATCCACTCCTGAGTTACCAGCTTGGCGACTTAGCCAAAGAAGTCTTAACCTATCTACAAGCTCATTAGGATCATCCCAATAAATATGGTCTATTTTATTACCAGTCACTTGTCTCAAACCTTCACCAACAGATTTAAATAGAGGTTTGATTATATTAAGATATTTAGTATGTCTATTACTTGAAATTGGTGCACCATCTTTGTAACTCTTTAAATGTCCATTTGTAGCTTCCAAAATTTCTTTATAATTTTGCAAATCAGCCGGAGTATAGTTCTCAGGTTCTTTTAACGTTAACAATTCCCATAAACCTTTTGTCCCCTTGTAGGTTTTATTTGCAACTGTAACATCATCATTGGCAATATCAACTTCCTTATTTCCAATAAAAAATTTATTTGCTTCTCGTCTAATACCATATGTAGTGTCTGTCATACTACTTTTACTGA